TTTCAGCTACTCCATTTGACTCAGTTGAATAAGGCGGAGTTACTTCATGAATTATTCCATTCTTTTCACAAAAATCATTTAAAGATAAATATTCTCCACCTCTATCTGATCTAATTCTCTTGATTTTTCTACTAAGTTGATTTTCAACCTCAGTTTTATAAGAAATAAAAGCATTAAATGCATCATCTTTATTTCTAAGCAAATACAACTTAGTATATCTAGAAAAATCAACAATAAAAACCACATAATATCTGTTACCACCTCTAGTCATAGTCTGCTTTAAGTCGCCTAAATCACTGTGAATCAAGGATAACAATTCAGTTTCTCTATTTACGGAAAAACATGTCTTTCTAGTACTTTTAGCTTCAACACATATTTCACACTTGTTAATATTATTTGAGTCCAAACTAGATATTAATCCTAGCGATTGCATTTTCTTTATATACGCGACATTAACATGTCCTAGTGTACCATGCCACAAAGAAATTGACTCAACCATATAAACAGAAGATGCATTTTTATTGTTAGTATCAAAGTATTAAGCACAAATAAACCATGGTTACAATATGTATTGCCCACAAAAATATCATTTTTGGTCAATACGAGACCTCATTATTTTCAAATGAAACCTTCACTCCAACTTTTCCTAATAACCCCACAGAAACCAAATTGGTTTGGATATTAGGAACATGCAATACATCACTCAATGTTAGAGTTTTACCAGATGTGAGTTTGAGAAGAATTTTTCCTTTCCCAAGAACACGAGTTTTTCTTGAGTCACCAAGATAAATAGTTTCTTCTCCTTCCTCAACTTGGGTGTAAGACAAAAATTCATTTTTGTTTGCACATATGTGCCTAGTAGCACCAGAGTCTATCACCCAATCTCTCACATTAGCCACATTATTTATTTGGGAAATGACCGCAACAACTATATTATCAGCTTTAGTCAAATTTAATTTTGACTTAGCGAGATTGTCATTTATCCCTGTATTTACATACCTGTATTTTGACATTAGTGTCTGCCAAAGTTGTGGATGCAATAATGTATTTGCAACACCATGGATATCTGGCAGGACAGCTGAAACAATAGCAGCAGAGACAACACCAAAATTGGTAGCACCATCAAAAATTTCCGCAGTAGTATTACTTGCCATAGTTTCTTAGATTGTAGGGAAATTACACGAAAAAATAACAATAATATTAGTGATCGGAAATACGTGAATTGACTTGAGTCGTGCTTGGCACCGTCCTAAGAAACTATTTCAGCAATGTGAAATGTTTTCCCGGGATTAAACAAGCCTACCTCTATTTTATTTAGAGGATATAGGAATCAGCAAAATTAAATATACCAGCAAGTTGCTAGAAGAAATAAATAAAGTATCTATTGAAGATAGAAAAAAATGGAGACATAAGAAGAACATTGGAATGAAAGAAAGAGAGCAAATGGTGATTTGAAGCTAATGATTAGCTTTTCTTGTTTTTTCATCCGTAGAAATTGAGGCCTATTTATAGGCTCAATAATGGCTATTGCTTGAGACAAGTGTTATGTCTCCTCTGTCACTTGGTACTTGGCTTATGCCACTTACCCAAAACCAAGAGAAAGGATGGCACATGTTGGATATTGAAATAGACCAAAGATACTTGTGGAATTTCCCACATGCATGGTAGCCACTTAGAAATAGGTATGACATTTGTAATTTGGAAGGACACTTGGCTATTTAAATTTTTAGAAAATACTGCCACAAAAATAAAGTCCACCAAAAATCTTAGCCCAGACTAGCGCGTTATTTGATAGAGTTGGCTAAGATCTTTGGACCTCATTTAAGAATGAGGCCTTTTAGACTGGCTCAAGTAAAGCCCGCCGACCCTTGAGGCTTGACTGAGCCTAGGCTGGGCCGGCCCGTGGGCCAAATTGGAAAAATTTTGAACTTAAAAATATAAAAATTGAAAGGGTATTTTATGGATGAGCAATGGAATATTAGATATTAGCCATCTTTATGTGAATGAGCACTGAAATATTAGATTGCCCTAGAAGAGAAGTTTTTCCCGTTGCTTGCTATGTCAAAAGTTATAAGTTTTGCGGGAGGTATGTTGGTTATATATGTTGTTACTTTGATATGCTAAAGTATTATTTGTTGTGCTAGTTGGCATGATGTGTAAAATGAGAATGTTGTTGAAGCTCATTGCCTCATTTCTTTCTCTCTTTTATATATTACCTTTATCTTCATCAATTACCTCATTGCTTGTCACAGGGGAGCTTATTCGCTTTCAAGCTGGAGTTACATTGGAAATCTCTCGATTAGATGCTTGGTATTCTGGCAGCGATGGTTCTATTGAAGGCCCTGCAACCTACATAGTGCATGGTCTTTGTCGTAGGTGTTGCATCCCTGAAGTTGTTCTGCGGTGTATGCAGGTGAGCTTGATATTCAAACTCGTAATTTCTCATTATTTACAGTATTGTGTGTAGGCTATCACCTAGAGCAAAATTCCTATTCCATAAATTTTCATTTATCTTATTTCACAATTCTGAGAATTTGAATAGAAGCAAAAACTTCAAGGACGTGTCTGTTTGTACTCTCAGTTGCGATCTGTTGAACTCATTTGTAGGTCTGTGTGTCGCTTGTTGGGTCTGGTAATCCACCTAATACCCATGATGAGTTGATCAACCTTGTCACAAATCCTGAAACAGGGTTCATTCGTCTCTTCAGTCAGCATCAATTGCAGGTATTACTGTTTGGCTTGTACCCTTTATGCACAGGAAAAGAGATAATAGAGTTTTCCTACAGCTGAATGACTATTAGGTTGGACAAAGTCTCATCAGTTCTCATGCATACACCATTTGTAGCATTAATATATTTGTAGGATAAAGTAGATCTGAGCTCTTGTCAGTCGGTTAATTTGATTTGTTGGGCAATAATTAGATCTTGCTACTAAAGTTGAAGCTACTTTTCATACAGGAGTTTTTGTTATTTGAGAGGGAATATACAATATACAAAATGGAACTCGAGGAGGAGCCAACCGCTTGATTTGAGGAGCTTAAATACTTGACAGGCTTGTTTCAATTTAAGTTATGGTATATATTTTTGTAGTCTATCAAAATTAGGTTCTTTTTTGGATGGTTGTTACCTATTATATTGTTACATTAAAATACAATATTTGTTTTGATTATTATTTAAAATCTGAATATATCGTATCGTTAAATTTGTTGTTACATAATGATATAAAACCCTTTTATGTAACAATCAATTTTGTGTGCTCGCGTCGTTATTGTTTTTTTTCCTCATCTTGCCCTTACTATAATTCTATTGTACTTTTTGCTTTATCTTATTTAATAATTACTCAACTTCATAATCTACTTTTTTTTTTATACATATTATACACTTATTTTTCAATTGCTGGTGTATTGCCATTATGAAATCATGAAAAATAATACAATCTATTCAAATGTTTTATTCATTAAAAAACGGTACGATAGGTTAGAAAACGATATGTAACTGTCATTCAAACAAGTTGTAACTACTGGTGTCATTCAAACAAGTTGTAACTACTGGTGTGTTTGGTAGGAAGAAAAACATTTTTCTTAATTTTTTTTTAATTTTTTCATGTTTGGTTGGCTTAAATATTTTGAAAAATATTTTCCTTATGAACTCATTTTTCTCCAATTGAAGGAAAATGTTTTCCCTACCAAGATAATAAAAAATATTTTTCAAAACTCTAAAGTGTTACTACATGGTCTTTACAAGCCATTACCTGTTCCTACTGCACCTTGGATTGATATTTCTATGGATTTTGTGTTAGGTTTGCATACATATGGTAAGGATATATATTTGTTGTGGTAGATAGGTTCTCCAAAATGGCTCGTTTCATTCCTTGTTTGAAGACTAATGATGCTTCACATGTTGCTATTCTATTTGTAAAAGAAGTTAAATTGCATGGTATACCTAGAACTATTTGTTGATGGGGAAGCTAAGTTTTTGAGTCACTTTTGGCGTTTATTTCTGGGGAAGTTAGTCACTAAATTGTTGTTTTCTACTTCTTGTCACCCACAAACTGATGGACAAACTGAAGTAGTTAATAGAACCTTAGGAAACATGTTGAGGGCCGTTTTGAAAGGTAAATTAACTTCTTGGGAAGATCACTTACCAATGATTGAATTTGCTTACAATAGAACAATTTATTCTTCTACAGGTATATCTCCTTTTGAGGTTGTTTATGGTTTTAATCCCTTTCCTCCCCTTGATTTATTACTGATAGCATCCTAGGAAGGATGATAAGGACAAGGATGAAGCTTTGGAATCTCAAAAAGAGAGCCTTTAACAAGATGTCAAGCTAAAGAGTTGCAAAACAAGGTCATTAGGCTTCAAGTGCAAATAAAGAAGTTGCTAATTGGGAGGAAGAAGAGCTCAAGGATAAAGGTTGTGAATTGGCTAGGTGTTACAATTGTTTTATGGCTCAAATTTATGTCCAAGAAGAGGAGTATTGGATCCCAAGAGACATCCTTTGAAGAAGGTCCTAATCAGTCCATTTTTGGACCAATTTGGCCCCTAAAATGGGTCCAAACTTGCAGTCCATGATGTTCTACATAAAGCCACGTTTTTATAACATAAAAAAGACTTACTTGATGTCCAAGAAAGGTAGAATAGTCGTGTTAGATGTTGAGTGCAAGCTGGTGCCAAGTTGCTTTAAAATTTCCTTCAAGATTTCCAAGATTTTCAAGATTTTATCCAAGATAGGTTTGGGACTTATTTCCATATATTTTTGGACTGTATTTATTGATTTCCTAGTTAGTTAAGGTTATGTTTTCCTTTTCCTAAGATTGTTTGGAATTACTTTCCAAGCATGGCTTGGTTTTTGTTTCCTAGTATTTTCCTTTTCCTAAGGTTGTTGGACTTGTTATCCAAAGTAGTTTAGGACTTTATTTCCTTGTTTTTTTAGCCTTAATTTCGTGACCCCCTCCCTCTCTATATAAAGGGGCGTCTTCTTTGTTTTTAGACTTAGATTATTCAGACTATTATCAATAAAAATTGTGAGATTTTTCTTGCACTCTTGTGTATGGCTACTCTTGGATAAATTCTTCAACCTTCAAGACTTAACTTAAGGTGGTAAGATTAAACTCTTTCGAAATCTTAGATCACTTCTAGGTATTCAAGAAAGGTGATAAGTTTAGGCTTATTGTTGTTCTTGTTATTCTAAAGGGTCGGGTTTTACAATATATCTCTTGTTTTTAATTCTCTACCAAAGGCGATTAGTTCTTTGTTAGCTAATTGTTGTTGTTAGGATTCAACTTCAAGAATAGACTTCTTGAATTCAATAAACTCTTTCTTGAATTCAATCTATCTTTAATTTTCCGTCCTTTTTTGTTTCTTTGTTTTTTTTTAGCTTCCGCACGTTTCTTGATTTTCTTAGTAATTCTTGAATCCCCTATCGTGTTGTTATCAATTGCCATTGCCTACTAATGATATTGCTAATCTTGATATTAATGAGCAAACTAGGCTTGCAACTGAGAAGAAAAATGAGCAAACTGCCTTGAGAAAGATAAGCGATACATGCCCACCCTCTTATTTTTATTAGCTTTTATTAGGTTTTCTAGTATTTAGCTTAACCTCCAAGTTAGGGTTTGCCTTGGCAGCCACCCTACCTAGTTTTAAGGATTTTTTTCTCCTACAAATAGGAGTTCTTTTCATTCATTGTGGTACTTAAATATTGATTAATAATATTATACTTTGAGAGTTCTTTTGAACCTTTGTTACTTATTCTTTGAGATTTATCTTTCAACGTTTACTAGTTCATAGTTAAAGGTAGTAACATAACTTTTTTATTTTGATATCATTGATTCCTTTGTGGTATTCTTAGAAGGTGATTATTACTAGATATTAATTGTTGACTCAAGTTACTCGTAAAACGATCAAGATCCGAATCTATTGTTTTTAATTTGTTATTAAGTAAAGGCGTTTGATTTCTTATGATGTTGAGTCTTATGATAGTTCACCTATATGGGATAATGTATGTGACGATTCTTTTGACTCTACTTTAACTTTGTTGGAAGAAAGTTTTGAACTTTATGAAGAACGAGTCAACAAGAATGTGTTGATGAATTTTTTTATTCTATTTCCATTCCTTTGGAAGAAAGATTCAAATTTTATGATGAAATGGGCAAATTCGAATATGATGATTTGGTTGATAGTAAAAAGGAAAGTAAAGTTTTTGATGCTAGCACTAGTATTAAATGCTTTACTTATCTTATTCCTACTTTTGAAAGAACATTCTCGTTAGATTTTGCTAATGCTTCTATGAGTAAAGGTAAGAATTTTTCTTTTGGTGGTTTGATTGATCATTGTGAGCAAGAAGAACCTAACTTTATTGATTATTTTGTGAAGGTTCAACAAAAGGTTGCTAAGGGTAAGGAAAGCCTTGAACTAACACATTTGATAACAACACGATAGGGGTCCAAGAACTACTAAACAAAATCAAGAAACGTACGGAAGCTAAAAGAATGAAACGAAAAAAAGGCGAAAATTAAAGATAGAATGAATTCACGAAAGAGTTTCTTGGGTTCAAGAAGTCTATTCTTGAAGATTAATACTAACAACAATAATTAGCTAACGAAGAACTAATCGCCTTTGGTAGAGGTTAAAAACAAGAGTTAGATTGTGAAACCTGGCCCTTTAGAATAACAAGAACAACAATAAGCCTGAATGTATCACCTTTCTTGAATCCCTATAAGTGATCTAAGATTTCGAAGAATTTATCTTGCCACCTTAAGTTGAGTCTTGAAGGTTGAAGAATAAATTCAAGAGTTGCCACACACAAGAGTGCAAGAAAAAGTCTCACAATTTTTATTGATAATAATCTGAATAACCTAACTCTAAAAACAAAGAAGACCCCCTTTATAGAGCGTCACGAAATTGTACCCAAAAAAATTAGAAAATAAAGTCCTAAACTACTTTGGACAACAACTCAACTACCTTAAGAAAAGGAAAATAAAACAAGATAGTGACCATGTGTTCACTTAACCCAATTAAGCCTAATAGGTGTAAATACCCCTTAACAAAGCATATGGATGTTATCATCCCAATAAAATTTATGCCTACTTAGATTTGTCCCATAAAAACCTCTCAAGGTAGTCAAAAAATTTGCATTGATCATGTATCCATTTAAAACAAGTATCTCTACCACATGCATCAAATAAGACACTTTTATGATATAGTCAAGTATCAATTTCAAATCTCATGGATTCTTCTACATGTAAGCTATTCAAAGAAGCACATAAATTCACAAGAAAGTTAAAAGAATCCATAATTCCCAAAATAAAAGTTCCAATACGTTCAAACTCATGATTATAACTTTCCCAATTAATATTCTCAACATCAAAGGATTCTAAACAATTGCTCAAAGTGCCACATTAAAGAGTCATAGATAAGCCCATGAAATAGTATTTGATCACTGACGTCACAATATTCATGCATAGCCTCTTTACTAGTATCAAATACTTTTACATGCTCACAATCAACATGATTGGAAGAATGACTTCCTATCACAAAACAAAACTAACATTCTAGCAATTTATCACATGAAAACTCATTTTTCAAGTCTCTTCTCATAAATTTTAAGCCTCTTTCCATCAAGTTCGAACATATAATCATCCATGTCATACTTAATTTCAAAAGGAAGTAAATTACTCTTTGCACCTGAACTTAGATATTACAGTTAGTGACTTGATATGCATCAAAATATCATCATCCACAAAAATCATAAAGTCACCAACATAAGAAACAAGAGTATTGTTCATTACCTCCAGAAACACCTTAGGTGTTCTAGAAAGGCCAAGAATGTGAACAAAGCTTACATACCATACTTGGACTTATTTACTAAGGGAACAACATCACATTTTATTCTTTGATGCAATGGCTCTAACTTAACAATGTCTTTAGGGAACTACATGTTATAAACCTATAAATAAGGATCAAAAGAGTAAAAAGATTCAACAACAAAGAAATTAACCAAGCTTTTATCTTCCACCATCCAACAAGAATAGATATCGCCAAATTCATGTTGGAATCCAATTGGATCTTTTGCCACCATCTCTTGCACTTTATCTCCCCTTTCAAAAGGTCTGTCAACACTTGACTGCACAAATCACAAGAACTAATGGGTTAGGAAGTAAAGAACATGTTTTCTTACTTACATTCTCTCTAGTTTTTATCTCCAAACTAACTTTTTCCTCACCCTTAACCTCTTTTCTCTCACTAAACTTTTCCTCTTTTTCTTCACTCAAATCCTCCTGTTTTCCTCTCTCTACCTCACATACTTTTGTTATCTCGTTTCTTTTCTTCAAGCTAACTCTTTTTCTCACTTGACATCCCATTCTCTTCACTCAACACAACCTCTCCTTTTTCCTCTCTTGGGATATCGACATGCACTCCCTTACTCCTCTCATTATTTTCTCTCTCATATTTTTTCATATTCTCTTTACGATCTTTTCATCTTCATAAATTTGTGAGGGAGTCAAAAGCCCAAGAATGAGTTTCTTCGTGTCAACCTCAAAAGAGTATCTATTTTTTTCATGTTATATAAATTCCTAGCCCAATATTTTGAACTTTATAAATATTTTTAAAATATACTACTTGCCAAGTTGCCCCATTTATACCAACCACTCGATTTTCTCTTCCTCTTCTAATTTCATAATGCCTATGAATGTTATTTACAATGTTTGGTGATGATAAGTTGGTATACTCCCTAATTTTGGTGATGTAAAGATTAAACCTCAAAGTCTTTAAAAGTATTCTTCCCAACCCATGAAAGAAAATAGTGAATAAGAAGATTTGTTGAAAAAGATAATTAACTAACATAACTTTTAAGTTACATGATAATTTATTATCATTAATAATCTTGAACTTATAGTAAAAAATTTCAGAGTTTAAACGAGAGATAAAGAGACGTAGTCGACAAGAGTCAATAACACCATTAATTCTGCAAATGCAACGATTTAAAGTAAAATATTAGATGGATGTTTTACCCTTTAAAAATAGCTTTTTTATTGAATAATTATAACTACAGTTAAATGTAAAATTTTAGACGATTTCATACTAAAATATGAATAAAATAATCGATTTTTAATTAAGTAATTAAGTTTTTAGAACTAATAGCAAAATAAATTCATTTCAACCAAAAAAAAAAAAAGCTAAATAAATTCATTTCACTTCTTTTAGAACTATTCATATACGAAAATTTATTTTTCAAGTTGATAAAACTCATATGGTACATAAATTTATTTCTATAAGAAAAATATTGGCGAAAAGAGAAATTAGAGATAGAGCAAACTTGAAACGATAAGGATAAAACATTAGAAGACAAAACATATTCTAAATGAGTTATAATTTTTCTTAATTCATTACAAAAGAATGGCAGCTCCCTATAATTTTTATACATTACTTCTTGTAAAATATTAATTTAACATTGGCGGAGGAATGCATTTGAGGACTTATGTGATAGCAGATTAGTTTTTCTAATTTTATTTCACAATTCAAACACAGTATGTAGTATATATAAGAAAGATACAAGGAAATTTTCTCAAAATCGTATATATTCACGAACATAGAATACACGCGCAGAGCCAAATTCTAGTTCCCATTTTTTTTTTTTTTTTTACTATTCCCGTTAAATCTAACAAGTACAATTTGTTAAATACTCGACAAGGATCAAAAGTAGTAGTACTATCTTTCGACAAGCTTAAAAGACTAAAATAGCTCAAAGAGTATATTTCGGTGACTAATTTAGACCTACTCCAAACATAAGAGACTTTTTTGTCATTTTATCAAACCTATTACCCGGAGTACACTACTTACACTGTAGCGCAGACGACATTAGAGCTTTTTTAAAACCCTCCCCGCTCTTAAACCTGCAGGGCTTTAGCTTTGGGCGTTTCTGTCACGTCTAATCTTTTGGGTATTCTGAAGATGGAGATTGACGAGGGCACATCTCCCAGCTATTTTGACCCTGAAAATCTCAGTACAAGAGAGCGTTTTCGTCGATACGGGTATCTTTTTCTGCAAATTTCACTTTAGCCATTTCGAACTTTTACCAATAAGTTTGTCTTTTTCTTTTCTTTTGCGTCTATAAAGATTGTAGTTGGTACAAACTAGTTGAAATTAATTTTTTTTTTTACACTTGCACTAGCTTCCATCTTTGCTTAGGTTAGATAGGCTCGCCTGTGTGTGATAGCAACGAGCTCAATGGAACAGTAAAGAAAAGGAAAAAGCTGCGGAAATTGGAAAGAGAAGGCAGAAAAGAAGAAGATAAACTAGGGTAAAATAAGGAATATTCTCTTGTATATCCCTTACTATGAAAGGTAATTACAATATATATAGGGGGATTGAGAAGAGGTACACTCATCTGACACTCAAGCCCTTTTCCTATTTAGCTATAGGACCAAATGTGTTAAATACAAGAAAATTACTGGACTAAAGTGTAATTCCTATAACTTCTAATTTAAAACTTAGCTGGACTAAACTAGCTTATTTAAAACTTGGCTTAGCCCTATATTTAACTAACTTAACCGCCGCGTACCACTCAACTAGCCCCAGGTTCTGAAGACGCAAGCTATATCATATCAGATCCCCGGTGTCAAAATCTTCCTTGTCCTCAAGGAAGGAAAGAAGGAAACCTAGTCCTTAGTGAATGATAGTCCTCCCAAGTGGCTTGTTCAGATGTTGTGTGTTCCCATTGGACCAAAACTTGGGGTATGGCCTTGTTCCCATTTTGCACCAAACGTCTATCCAGTATTTGTTGAGGTTGGGGACAGTAGGGGCTGGAGATTGCAAGGACTGGAGGGTGAGAAATCTGGTCAGGTAGCTTGTGGCAAATCTTAAGTTGAGACACATGAAAGGTAGGGTGAATAAGGAGTTGTGAAGGTAAGGAGAGCTTATAGGCTACATTGCCAACCTTTTTCAAAATCTGGTAAGGGCCATAGTATATAGCGGAGAGCTTAGAGAAGTGGGATCCAGACATGGTGACTTGCCTATAGGGTTGTATTTTAAGGTAGACCCAGTCCCCTTTTTTGAACTGCCTATCAGTTCTGTGTTTGTTTGCTTGATTAGTCATCCTTTGTTGTGCCCTCTGGAGATGGTATTTCAGCAGCTGGAATTTGAGTTCCCTAGT